TTTGTGTTGGAAGGGAAGTTTGCAGTGATGTAGGTTGGGAGAATTTTTTATTGAACTAAAATTTTGGTTTAATGCAAATATTTCTGAAGAGTGTGCTGTCACTTTACTGCACTTACGTTACTAAAAGCCTGTCTTGAAGAGTACATCCCTCATGTACTTTATTTCTTTGGACTGCCTAGTGAGCCACAATAGCTTTTAGTAAATGGATAAAGTATTGGCATCACCACTGGGGCCTAATAGGAATACATTCCTGATGCATTTTTCAGCCGGGACTTCTAAACTTTCCATTTCTTGTAACTGTGCTCTGACTTGGAACCTCTGGAGAAGATGAAATTTTGGCTCCCAGTATGTTTCATTCTGCTTTAAGTTTGTGGGTGATGGTCTTTGGAGTTACGTGCACCTGATTTGTAGAAATCTATTCTCTCTAGGTGAGTTGTTTTCAAAGTGGAGTGTATCAGAATCAAAATGAACATAAGGCCTAGCTGGGAAGAAGGATTTGTGTAGAAATACCTAACAACCTGCCAGCCTACTATATGCATTAGCTTGTACAGGCCCTGGAGTCCAGTTTTTCTATTACTTTTCAGAACGACATACAGTTGTGGATCCACAGCTTCATCCAAGGGTCCATGGTCATGCCATGTTTACAGCAGAGAAGACACAGCTAGAAATTCAAGTGAATTGTTGTTGTGTTAATTCTCAAGCTTGTAGTTGCTCCTTCTCAAAATCTGTTGATGAAGTCTTAATTGGACAGTGGTTGTGCTCTCTTTAATTATTGTAGTGGGAGACTTACTGAAATCACAGCACTCTTCAAATGAAACCTTTTCCTTGAAATACTTGTCCCAGCATCTCCAACAGCTGTTCTTTGTTTGGATCTGAGGTCTTCTGTTCAGCCTCCCCTTTGATCCCTCTTAGTTTGTCCAGAGCGCTGTTCTAAAAATCTCTGTGACTGTTGCTCGCAAGTCCTTCTCTCTCTTTGAATTCCTCCTCAGCTCCTTTCTGCGCTCTGCAAGACATCACATCTCTGCTGCTCCTTTTCTTTTCCCTTGGTTGCTGGTGTCTGTTTTCCTTCTTCCCAACAGGCAGTTTGTATCAGTCTCACCTGTTACTCCCTTCAGGGGCTTTGACACCTTAACTTCGTGTCATCCTCTTCTCCTGGATTTCCGTGTGAAGCATGAGTAAAATTTGTCATTGATCTGACAATTGAGTATTTTTGTGACTCCAGCATGCTGTCTTGTAGGTGACCTCCCTCTGGCTTCTAATATGTCAAGCTGTGATTTCCCCTTCTCCCCCTGCCCTGCTTAGGTCTCTGCCTTCTGTTAAATTTGTAGGGAGAAACCAGTGAAGGAGGACTTGCTCCTGCCAAGCTTGTCACTGGAGTAATTCAGGTTAGGAAAGCATCTTTTCCTACTCACATGAAAAGAATTCTAAATTAGGACAAACTGCGAAGTATTCTGATGCTTTGTGTATTTTCTTTCATAATTTACTTGGTTATTGTTATGCGAACTTGCTGTTATTTTCCAAGTCTTAAGTACAAAATGTCTGGAAGGCTTGATTTTCAACATGTTTATTTTTGATAAATACCACTTAATAACCTCTCATCTTTCCGCCATGAGGGAGAAAAATTCCATCATTATTAAATATTGATTTATCATCTAAACGGTTCCTGTTAAAAACCAGAAGTATTCAATGAGCACGTCTGCATTTTCACATCATTACTGACTGTTGTTTAATTTCTGTCTAGTTACTGGAAGATCAGTAGGAATCTTCTCTCCTTTTAAAAGATGTCTTTGTTGCCCAGAGACACTTCATCTCCTCTCTGTTGCTTTTCATCCCTTGCTGTCTACATTTCAACTGCAATTTGTGCATTTCAGAGAAGTCTTGTGCTACTTGCCTCATTGCTCAGGTTGATGCGTCGCTGATGGACCTTCCCCTTGTCATGCTGGCAGGCAGCAGAAGAGTACAAAGTCAATCTTGGGTTTCCCAATTGCTAACGGAGACCTCTGTGTACTTCACCATGCTGCAGGGGGGTGGTTTATGTGTCTGCAAGACGTGGCACTTATTTCCAGTAGACCTCCGTTATCCGGGAGTGAAGGTTAACAGACGGCACATCCCCTTCACATCTCCTTTTGAAATGTCAACCATGCTGTCTGGCAGCTCATCCTACCAAGTTTTAACATGAATAGTTACATATAATTGATGTGTTCATGAGTGCTTCTGCCTAGGTTATTGTTATCAAAGCTGGAAGTTCAGCAGTTCTGTAAAATTTTAAGTGTGTTATGATACACATGGTCTTGTGGATGGGATGCTGCAGCGGTGCTTGGGAGCACTGGGTGCAGAACCCAGTTCTGCTGCAGGTCTCCTCAGTGTTACACAAGTCATGAGGTCCCTCTGTGTGTAGGTCTCTCACCAGTCGTTTTTCTCCCATGTGTTTTCCATCTTATTTATCTTGTACTTGTGTAGCATGTATCACAGTGAGCCTGATCTCCACTAGTCCCTGTATTTATTTAGTACTGTACTGTAAATAAGACGTGCCCTAGTTTCATTCTCATTCATGCTTACTGTGGTAACTTCTAAACTGTTCTAGATTTCTCTCGGGGGTAATGTTTTATTATTAAAATGATGATTTGCTGCATATTTTGGTAATCTAATAGTACATTACTCACCAGCATCTGTCTCCAATGACACCTATTGGTTTGGCACATAAGAAAGAGCTGTTTGGATGGAAACGAATAGCTGGGCATTTCCTCTAATAAATTTTCTTCCTTTTTGTATTTCCAAGGTACTGCACAGATGAAAATCAGACATTTCCTCAGCCATTCATGCTGGAGAATCACATCAGCCTCATGCACGGCATCAAAAACCCAGACTTATCCCAGATGGCCAAAGCAAAAGCTCCAGAGGGAGACACAGCAGAAGTAACTGATATATTTTCATTGAAAAATAAATGTACCTGGCGAGTAGCTGTTCACTTGGGGTGTTATGTTGAGCCACAGCCTTGCGGCAGTCAAGCCCTCTCGTCCATATGGCAGATTTCTTTCCCCTCCTCTCAACTCCGTCCAGTTTGCTTCTCCTTGGCAGTGTCAGGATCAGAACTGAAAGTGCAGCTGAGCTGCAGCAGCACCAGGGCAACGTATCCTGCATTTTTCAAGATATTTTTGAACGTGTGGCCCTGTGTTTTACTAGCCTTTTTCCAGTCTACTTTGTAACCAGGTCTAATTTAGGTTTGTTGTTACCCTTGTTTTCCCCTGCCACTCTGTTCATGAACCTGGTACATTTTTTCTCTTTCTCCCTTTTTTTTCTGCTAGTTACAAAAGATTTCTTTTCTGTTTTAAAATACTTATTAGATCCATTACCTACAAGAACAGCATTCCTCCTAAGTAGGACTCTGTAATTTTTTTCAACAAATGTAACTGTTCAGCTCATTTTATTTCGGGTTGGTTTGGAGCGGAGGATTGGCTGATTGGGCTTCTTTGCTCCATTTACTTTAAAAATAGATGTACGTTTTCCATATCACTGCAATTTATCATTCATCTGTACCTAGCATTGAGGGATCACAGCCAAGACTGACTCCCCTCTGTATTTATGCCATAAGGAAACCTGGGGTAACTCAAGAATTCACTTCCATGAGCTAGTGGCTCCTTCCCCCAAGCAGAGCCAACATACCAGGGCACTCGGCTAAACAGGGGCAGATGGTGGCTTCACGTGGCTCCCGCTGGGTCTGCAAATACAAGCCTATAAGCTGTACCCTAAACAAAGACTGCTCAATGCTGCTGGATAAGGAGATAACAAAATCACATGAAGGGACATATGCAAGTGAGCCGTCCTCATGGGAGGAGAAGCATGCTGTGGGATTTTAAGACAGAGGGGATGAATTAATGAGAGATGCCATGAAGAAAAAGCCTGAATGGAGGGGAAGATGTTCAGAGTTAAATCTGAGAAGCATTGTCTGGGCTAATTGCCATCCTCATGTCCCTCAGCTGTCCCTGCTCTGTGGGCTCCTCCTTCCCACACCAAGTTCACATTCTCTTTTGCCATCACGTTTCTGCCCGGCCAACCCCTCCCAGGTCTCCCACCTCACGTCGCAGGACAGCAGTTGAGATCCTGCACGTTGGGGTGAGGTGTTTGGGTGCTGGTAGGAAAGGCAGTGCAACAGGAGTCCCTAGGCATGGTTTCATTTAGTTTGTATCAAAATACCAATGTGTATTCACCCCCAGGTGTCTTTGGATGCGCATGTGGAATTTAGCACTTCTTCTTACGTGGGCTCGAACAATAAAGTAACTTCTTAATCTTATTTTTTTAAGGCAAAATCTCCAAAGAGGATGGCAACAGATGAGCTGGGTCAGGCAGAGACCGCTGCGGGTTCAGACGCGCCGCCAGCCAAAAAACTGAAAGCGCATTGGAAATGCGCTAAATGCGGATTTGCGACAGACATCAGTACTGAGTTTCAGGAACACATACCTCGGCACAAGACAGACAGCTCCACCTACCAGTGCTTGTTCTGCGGCTTGTGCTACACCTCTCACATCTCTCTGAACAGACACCTCTTCATTGTTCATAAAGTAAAAGATGAGGAGGAGGAGGAGGAGGAAGAGGAGGAGGAGGAAGAGGAGGAGGAGGAAGATGAAAGGCAGAAGTTACAAAGGGAGATGAGTGAGAACGGACATGAGGGGTATAATGGCGAGATGAACACTACGGCGGAAGAAGAAAATCTGAAATGCAAAGAGTGCAAAAGTGACTCAGCTCTTTGTGAACACAGTCAGACGTGTGGCGCGGAGGGTCCTAATAGCACCTCACAGAACAATCATTCAAAGTCTCTTAAGACTTAAAAACAAAAAACCCCTTTTGGTTGGTCGGGGGTATTTTGTTGGGGGGTTTTTACTCAAAACAAGGGGAGGGGATGGGGCGAATCTTTGAAATATTCTGTTGATTTCTTGGGATGGACATTGCTTTCCGTTAACTTCTATTTGTAAGGGAAATTTAAAAAAGAAAAAAAACCCCTGCCATTGCATCCTAAGCACTAGCTCTCTGCCAGACCGGAGAGGTGAAAAGGGAAAGCAGGGCGAGAATCCTCGCTGGAGCTTGTCCAACTCCTGAGGATCAAGGAGCACTTTCTGCAGCTGCAGTTTCCTTAAGATGAGCTCTCTTCCTTCGAGTGTGCACTGCCTCAGCCTCTGCCCGGAGCCCCAGCCTTTGCCTTCCCTGTCTCGCTTTCTTTCTCCTTCTATTTATGGCTTCTTTTTTCTCTTCCCATCTGCCTTTGTTTTACTCATTTTAACTCATAACGCTGTCTCAGCACTTGTCAGGACCGTGCTGGCCGATCCGGGATCTTCTGCATTACACGGGACGGGTTCAAGCTGTAAGTTGTGCTGATTTTTTCTTTAATTGCCCGAATAACAACCTTATTTTCCAAAAAGCAATTTAATGAAATGTCTTGGACCTGAATCATCCTGAAAGAGAATTTTGTAGCCCCCGCCCTCCCGGGTGAGCACAGCTCAAAGCCACGTGTCCCGTTAAGGAGGGCCTGGTGCCCCTCGGTGACTCGCTGGCAGCGTGTCAGCGGAGCCATGCTGCTGGCAGCCATCCCGGGGGTGGGTGCAGCGCTCGGTGGCTCATCCTGGCGGGGAGCTCGGGCAGGGCTGGGTGGCAGGTTGGCACCGTCCCCAGAAAGGGAAGACGTCCCGCACC